ATAAAATACCTATAAATGTATAAGACGGCAATAAACACTCAATATGAGTGGTGAGTAAGGGCGTGAAAGAGGTTTTTAATACAATTCTATTCATAAAACCAAACCAAATGTTTAAATTTAGGTCAAGAAAATAAATCACAAATAAATATATGTGATGCATGGGAATTGAATAACAATGAGCGTAATGCCAATTTACGGGCAAAACAAAATGTATAAATGCAAATGTAAACATATTTACATACGCCGACTTATTTGTGAGTATGAATAGAACTTTTACTAAAAAAAATATTTATGCGACATTAGGTTACATTGCAAATTTTTATGTTAAATATTATTGGGGGAAGTGAATACAAAGGCACGTGTGTGAGTGGACCACAAAAGAAAAAAGAAGAATAAAAATGAAATAAAAAATTGAAAATAAATATAGGCAGGTGGGTTGGAAAAATATAAGTGTGTCCACAAAGTAAACAAGCAGATAATAGAAATAATATTAAGTATATATGTATACATATTTTTTACACAAACAAGTACTTTTGTTGTCTGTTTTGTGTTCATAGAAGGCCTCCCACTATTTTCTGCATTACCTGTGCTCCATCCGACTATATGTAAGCGCGCAGGATACGCTTATCTACCACCAATGCAAAACCAATATTTTTATAAGATGATTTATTGAGCCCACTACTACTTTGTGAATACAACAGCCTTGTACGCCCTCAGGAGAAAATAAAAGAGGTGTGCGAAATTTCTAGCTAAAAACTGATATATGAAAGATGAAATAATACCAGCGCATTATTTGTATAACAGTAGCGGTAATAATAATAACTTTAACCACTTTCTAATGCAGCGCTTATCAGTTTCATTTTCTGTTACCCTCTTTTGCAGTGCGCAGTGTATCGTCACCCAATTTATAGTCACAACAATCGGTTTTGACTGTAGTGCTTGAGATTAGCGTTTTAAATAGCGATGCTGTCATATATATATCAATTCTTATTTTTGGTGAACTAAAAACACATTCAGAAATAAACCAGCATTTAACTGATATTATATTGCCGTATTAACCATGTAAAGAAGTAATGCAAGATGAACTAGTTACAGCGCAAATGCAAGATAGTAACAGTCTAGTTACCAAGTAGCTTTGCTCTCTACAGGGTATGTAGTGAATTCTACCTCCTACTTTCTGACATCTAAGAAAGCGCACAGCATAAACATCGAGCTTCAACCACAACCGGTGCGGCTTAGACAGCCTGCCTATACCAGTAAAATTTCTAAAACGTTTGACCTATATTTATCTTGTTCTACCTTTGTTGCGTAGGATACGAAATTGAAATGAAAACAGAAAATGAAAATAGGAAAAAAGAAATTTAATGCAAAGAAACTATAAAAAGTCATGCGGAGGCACTAGTTTGTCAACAAAGCTTTCCTTTAGCCAATCAAGTGTTGGTAAAGGAAAAATTGCTCGATTTGTATTTTTTTCGCTTTTGCTTTATGCTTGTTTTTCGCTATTTATTTCAAGTTTCTTTTTTGCTAACTTTGCCATTGTTGTGTCTAATTTTTGTAGACACATTTCGCATTTGCTGAAAACAAATCAAACTGACATATTTTCACGCCAAAATGTAGGTGAGTAGGTAATTGAAGGGATGGTGACAAAAAAAGTGGGAGCAGTAAAGTAGGAAAGGCAGTAAAATGAGATGTGTATATATATGTATTTACCACTTTGTAACCTCTGAAGCGATTTTTGGCCGAGCTCTTCCTCCAATTTGTGGCAGGCGTCTTTATGTTTTTTCAACCAAATGCAGAGACCTACCATTGATTCTAAGTCACTCCCGAGCAACAGCTGGAGTTTTAAGACTAGCTTCATCACAAAAACACTTCTTGACACGCACTTGAAGTCTTGATCTTTCTTGCCACGGGGCGACCACAATTAAAAAAATTATTTTTATTTGATGATTTTGGACTCGAACTATAGCCTCCCAGATGTTAGTACGCAGTGCTAACCACTTGTCTTTAGGCATTCAATACCAAAAAAAAATATTTTGTGTATAAATAATACATATAAATCAGCTCAACATAAAAAATAATAGCGTAAGGTGGCACATTTAAGGCGAGACGCGCTGAGCAGCTACAGCCTAAAGGACTCTAAGTCTCTAACCGATACACATCTTCTTTTGTACACGAATTAAAAACACCTTACGCCCCACGCCATGAGGAGCCAATTTGAAGGATCCACGTAAATAATAGCAGTTTGTTGTTGATGGCAAACAGTCCGAAGCAGCAACAACGACATCGCCCGATAGTCTGTCTCGAAATTGTGCTGGTGGCTTGGCTGTTGGAGCATGGTTAGTGCACGCTGAGTGCTAATAAAGATGAAAAATCACATATAAAAAGATAAAGCCGAGTGATGATTATACATAGTTATGCATAGATACATAAGAGAAGCTGTAGTGACAGCAGGTGACAGTTGTACTGAGCGGAAGATTCGCATTTCTCTTCTTGCTGTCCGCCGTGGAGCTGCTGCAGGCAAAACATTAGTGCTTTCAATGATTGTTTTGTATGGAGAAGGTGGATGGTAGGTAAAGCGAAACATATGATGAAATATTCGCAACGGTGAGTGAGTAATCACTCTTAAGATACGCAAGTTAAATGACAGCGTAGGCTTTTTGTGGGCGAAGCAACCATCAAAAGACATGGATGAAAAATATAAACAACATCTGATGGTAAAAATAAAAGGAGAAAAGGCGACAATGTAGATTTAAGGATGAATTGTGGCCTTGAGTGGAGTCGATATTTTTAATGAAACTTTTTTTTTTGTTCCAAAAATGGTAATTGCTTTTTTTAACGTTTCTAAATAGTTTTGGTTGAGCTTGAAATCGTTCTAAAGAATATTTTACGCTCTGCTTTTGAAATCTTCTACATTGAATAATTTTATGACCGCAGTGGGTACTTTAAAGCGGAATGTCAAGACTTCTAGCCCTTAGCCTATTAGCGTACGGATTTGTTTCTAACTCTTTCAGCAAGTGTCGCCAATCTCTCTGAGTTCCCTCAACTTTTTGGGAAAACATGGAGGTGCACTCCATTGTCGTTTATTCTAAGCGGCCTCCGATGTCTGATGGATTTTTACTAGAAGCTTTCATCTTATGACCGCAATAAGACTACGTATGCTTGACTTTTCGCATTTAAGTAGCACTGTTACTGTTACGCCCATTACGACCACATCGAGACCCCCAATTTTTTTTTTTGCGAAACCTTTCCCTCAGTTTTTTTGCTTGTACCTAGAAATAACTGTTTTCAACTTGCAAAATTATCGTAGCTCCGCTGCTTTCATTATTTTCTTCAGCTTAAGCTTAAAGAAATCAGCACGATTAAATACCGAATATGATCGGATCTTTAACGTTAAAATATATGTAAAAAAGCAACACATACAATATTGGCGAAACAGGTCTCTCAAACCAAACTGGAAGAACCGATAGCAACCGACGGACTACTTGTTCAACCAAAGTCGAGAGCCTGCGAAAGTTTTCTTAAAAATCAGAAACAAGCATGCATTTTAGAACGAACCAGTGACAACTCAAACCAAAAAGCAACCGAGCCGACCCCTATAACAGCAATAAGATTTTTTTGTATAGTTATCAGGAACAGCTCTGGGAGGATAGTAGTGGACGTTTATTTAAGCTAATCGAATATCGTTCAGGAAGGACAGATCGGGATGGCTGAGCTTATTTAAGATCCACGTGTTCGATGTATATTTGCTAGGATATTATAATAAAGCCTTATCGAACGCAGTTAGATCCGTCTTCTTGATTAATATTAAGCTGTTAAATAAGTCGCACATTGTGTTGACCACAGGCAGATCATGAAGGAAGTGAAGCCGCTCATGTCGGGAAGTCCAATAATGAAATTGGCGAAGAAGGTAAGGAAGAGATTGATGACACTGATCAGTTGCTGAGCGAGGTAGGCTTCAACAATTATGTTTATTTTGATAACCAAGTACCCAAAATTAATTCAAAGGTGTCAGTATTTCTTGCGACAACAGATTTAAGTTTTTTACATATCTTTTCTGGATTTTGATGCTACAATAAATATATATATATTTTTTTTTTTCAACGTGCAGATATCACTCTGTTTAAAACAATTTTTTTTGCAAATGCAGCATATATGTGCACTGATGTGTTTGTCGGTGGCTACCGTGGAAATTAAGGTCACAAAATTAATCCCCGTGTGACCTTCACTACGGTTATTATGAAATGGGTTGGCAAAATATGAAACAAATATAAGAAAACGTGGGAGAACAAAACGTGCACATATGTATTTATGGAAATATGAAAAGAGCAGAATTAAAAACATATATGCGAATGAGCCTAGAGAAAGGTGTCATAGGCAAACAGGCAGGTGATGAGCAAAAATTTCAGCACAAACAATAAAACAAGGGGATGAGAAAACTGATACACGAAGGCTGGCACATATAATGTATTTAGTAATATTTGCGACATAACCCAAAAATTGTATCGCGAAAACATTTTGCAAACAAATGTTCAAACGAAAGTTCCTGCGATTAGGGTTCAACCGCTCTTTTCGGGTGTGTGTTAACAACTAAGCCATGATATGAATGGATTTCCATGATTCAAACGAGTCACTTTGTTTTTCATAATTTGTTGTGCTACTATCCGTTCGCTAGTAATATGCATACATAGCGACTTACATAGAATTGTTGTGGTAGTAGCAAACAGCTGTTTTACTATGGCGAAGGAAGCCAATAAGCGCAAGCGCCATGAGAGCGCTGAATTTAGAGAACTGCAGTAAAATCCAAACAATTTATATTCACACTGTTACTAACAGAGTTTAGACCAATTTGACAGGTCTAACAGCACACTTATGTTGCATTGGCAATGGTTTGTATGAGTGGTTGCATAAGGACACTGGCAAGTACCTACACTGTTAGCTAGGAGTACTTGATAACGCGCGGATTCTAGACAAATTTAATCAGTTGCAGAAGTGAACTCATGAAGGCAAGTTTTGGCTAACGGCAAAAAATTTATTTTCGTGTGGAAATTGTGCGTGCAAAAAACAATAACAATATAGATGAACTTGAAGTTGAAAAATAGCTGAATATAAACGGAGAATGTTTGAAATTGATAAAAGAGTGAGAGAAAAAAATTAAAAAAAAAAACATATAATAATATCAAATAAAATTAAATTAAATAGTAAATAACAAAGATACTAAAATTAAATGAAATAAAATAAATAACTTAAACTAAAGCAAGGCAAAATAAAATAAAATAAAATAAAATAAAATAAAATAAAATAAAATAAAATAAAATAAAATAAAATAAAATAAAATAAAATAAAATAAAATAAAATAAAATAAAATAAAATAAAATAAAATAAAATAAAATAAAATAAAATAAAATAAAATAAAATAAAATAAAGTAAGATTAAATTAAGATTAAACTAAAAATTAAAAATAAAGCAAAATAAAATAAGATAATATAAAATGTAATAAAATAAACTAGAGTAGAATAAAGTCAAATAAAAATATCAAATAAAGAATATAGGCATAATAAAATAAATTAAATTTAAGTTTAAGTATATTAAATCAAATAAAGTTTCATTTAATTATTTAAAAAAAAAAATAAATATAAATAAAGTAAAATAAATAAAAATAAAACCAATAATTAAAACGAAATTAAAATTACATGAACTAACATAAAATCAAATAAAATTAATAAAAATTTTATAAAGTAAGAAGAAATAAAACAAAATTAAACAAAATTAAACAAAATTAATTGAAAAAAAAAATATAATACAATAAAGTAAAGCCAATGACATAATAGCAAAAAAAATTAGATTGAACGGAAAAATCTTAGTTTTTGAAAATTTGTTAAAAAATCAAGAAAAAAATTTTCCTTCAATTATTTAAATCCTATTTTCAGCTAATTTCTTTGTTCAGGCATAGAAGTTATAATAAGGATTTAAATTTTATCAAAAAATAAGGCACACAAAATATCACAAATTCTTTAATTAAAAGTAATATAAATAAAGTGTTAAAAAAATGTTGAATTCACTTTCCAGTTGAATTGTCAAACACATGAAATTCATAGAAACGCAATACAAAATGTAGTCATTTAAAAAGTAAAAATTCACCAAACCGAATGAAATAAAGCAGCGCAATTTAAATAAGTTGCCATGGCAACAGGCGCACTTCAAAAGCGCCATCAAAATCAATCAAATAAGTGTCAACGCGACAGGTAGCAGTTATAGCTGCTGGTTTCTAACGCCACAGGCAAAGCAGCACGTTCGCTAAGTAGCGTCGTTCTAAGAAAATCGGGTGGAAGTGAAAAAAGGTAGGCATGAAATTTGAGCATCAAAAATTTGCTGTAAAATTAGTGCAAAAAATGAAGATGTGTGTAAATGAGTGGTAAACCTTAAAATGTTCAAACCAAAGTTAAAGTGTGTGTGCTGCAGAAACTACAAATTGCTTTTCGCTCAAAATATTTATGAAATTTTGTGAAAAGGCAATAAATATGTTAAGCAAATAATACATAGCATATTTAAGTTCTTGGTATTATCTTCTGTATCTTCTGTATCTCCGGTAGCTGCTCCAATTGGCAACGTTTATGCATAAATAAGTCAGCACACAACATTTAAGCAAATATTATGCCAATGAGTGTGATGAGATTTCATAAGCCAACGGAATCAAATTTGTCATTCTTAAATTTCAGTTGAGGAATATGCAGAGAACAGTACATGTAGATTGAAATACAATACACTTTAAATATACAACATTTAATGTGGAAATATAAAAATTCTCCATGTGAGTTCGGGACGTCATCAAATTTATGTGCATAGTTGGGTGAGTATGCTTAATTTATTATTTTTATTTTGTTTCTTTATATAGTAATAATTTTTAAGTCTAAGACTTCACAAATTATGTTAAGAATATAGGATTATCGCTGGCTGGGAAAGTCCTTCACTAAAATGCGTATATTAGGAGTTAGATTTGTATTGATTGTGCTCGTGCCTTTAGGGTGGAGAAATTAGTCCTTTCAAATACCTGATAACTAACTAACCTAAATACTTTTGAAAAGTTGCTATTGATATGATCTTTTTTAAGCAGCTGCCCTTTGTGTCCTTGAACCAGTTGACCAAATAAAAATATCAGTTTTGATCTCTAGCTCCACCAGCTAGTGAGTTAATAGGTATTTTACAAACGTTTACTGATTTCGAAATTGCCAATCATTCGAAATCGATAACTTTAATTCAATCTGCTTTGCTAAGATCTAGTTTTGTTAAAATAAATTAGTTTTGACTCACGTCATTAAATACGCCGGGATGATTATAGACTAAATCTACTCGTCTCTACATTTTTTTTAAGCTTGTATTATTTATTTTGTAATAGAAATCCTTCTAGGGCGTAAAAGCACTTTTAATTTACAAAATTTTTATAAACGCAAAAATAGTTTAATTCTCATAGTTAATGAGTGGCGAAAATTGCTGTTAGACTCAGATTCCGTCATACTACTTATCCCACTCTTAAGGTCATGACCCAATTCGTATTGGTGGTGATTGCTTATTTTGTCTTGTTAAAACTCCTCTTTGAATCGTAACCTTTCTTACTCATTGCTGGTGAACAAAATAATTGTACTTCTGGTTCATCCGGTGACACCTTCTGTATAGTATTCGATGTCTTCAACAATTTTTAATAAAATGTCAAATATTAAAGACGGTTACTTGCTCAAAATCATTTTCAAGACATAATAGCAGAATCATATCTTGAAAACAGAGCTAAAATCTTATTAACTTTGCAACCGTTAAAGATTATTTCGGTCGATCTGTGATGTGCTCCTTAATGTTCAGTTTAGTTTCTAAATCGTCTTTGGACGACTAATGGATTTTTATGAGGGGCTTTTTTTTATGTCAGAAATACATTCGGGGGACTTGCCACTCCCTGCTTTGATTAAGTAAATAATTTTCTATATATTTTGAATTTAATCAGACCAGCACTCAAATATTTTTAATGACATTTTTGATCGCCCAAAAACACAACAAGTGAAAAGTGTTATTTAGTAAACTAATTTTTAAATTAAAAATATTAATAAAGAGACTAAGACGCAAAGGAGAAGCTTTAACTTATCTTTACCTAAATCTGAACTTAATTATGTACTTACTTTCGTCTCTCTAAGAGCAATATCTCTAAAAAAAAATATAAAAAAAAAATTACGCTACGCTGTAAATGAATTATGATAAAATCAAAAAATAAATAATAAAACACTTTAAGTAATTTAGTAAAGTAGGCAAACGTCATTTAAGCGCCAAAAAAAAATATAAAATATTTTTTTCAATGTATATATGCATGTATAAACCGCGCACATAAAATTATGGGAATGACTCGTTGATGTTAAATAGAGATGCTTTAACAATAAAAAAAGAAATGAAATAATAATTTGTTGCATATATTCTGGCGTTTAAAGCGTGTGTGTATCGCTGACAATAGATACAGTAGATACAATAAGAAGACGAAGCAAATACGCCGCAACTGTCAATTCTTTATCACATTCGGCTTGCTTTGTTGATACTGTCGCTGGCGTGATAATGTCTTGTGTTACCGTGAAACAGCTGTAGACACTGTCAGTTGTCTGCCAAGTGACTGCCAAGTAACTGCCAAGCATTTGATATATGAACATAAATAAAATGAATTTAGGTAGGTAAGTGTATGATATATATCAAGTATATATTATATTATATATGATACTCTCTTGTCACATGCAACATACACTTTACGCTTTGAAGTTACAAATTTTGCCCTCTTCACAGCTTTTTCTTACTCAGATTACATTGCACATTCTTTCGTTTAAATTCTCATGCATTTTTTTTAATTCTATCATCGTTTCTTCTTTTTAACACAATTCATGATGATGTTCCACCACTTCTTATCCTTCCTTCCTTCCATGGTTCGTTTATGCCGTTATTTTGCGTGCGGCGAATATTTTAAGTGTTTTTAAAGTCTAGCCGCTCGCAGCGTAGGACCTCAAAAGAGAAGTTTAATGCGGATTAACTGAAAGTTGTTCTGTGGTTTGTTCTATGCACACTCCATACATTTGGACAGACATATTTTTCGCATGAATATTAAATTTTTCGCTGCCCTTCCGTTGGTTTGCGCTACACGGCTCATAGTCTTGTTACTTCCGGCTATTTTTTTTTTACTTCCTGCTGTTAGCGTTAGTATTTATTATGTAGCTCCAGATTTCGTTCTTTGTTTTGTGTTTTCTTTGTTTCTGTGAAAAAGGATAAGTCTAATTTTTTTCTTGTCGGGTTTTTTATTTTCCCTCTTTAGTGTATACTTTCATATGCCTGCTTGTTAAATTGCTATCTGCTTTGCAGCGGGGGGAAAAACACTACGGTATATTTGCTTGAAAATATTTTCCTTGTTAAAGTCTTGCAAATATCTTTTCTTTTTGTTTTAATTTTTATTTCTCATTTGCTATAATCCCATGGGATCCAAGTACTTAAATGGCTAAGAAAACTATTTTCTTTTCTAGAAAGGAAATTAAAAATTAAGTATTTCATTATGAACTATGTACAAGTGAAGAAATAATGCGGAAGTTCATAATTCTATTGCGTTAGGACATAAGTAGACTGTCAGCTTTTTAGAGAAAACAAGTTTGCAGAATATCCAACCACTAAGTTTCCTCATTTAAGAGGAGATTACGGTGATAAAATAAGCACGCGCATCACCGGGCTGCTAGTTCCAACTCAAAAATCGCTACTTTAAGTGAAAGCGTTGTCGAGGACCCGACATTTCCAAAAGGTAGGACTTACTTTTTACATATAAATCCTTATGAAGCCCAGCTCATCAAATGAAGCCAGCTGACCATGCACAATGCCGTATATACGACGCTCGGGTGCTTTTCCCTAACGAGGGCCGTTTCTCACTTAGGGAAAAGTAAAATTAGCAATATTTTCATATTCGGAGCTCCAAAAATTCTAAAATAATTCAAGTGAGGCCATAATATGCCAAAAAACTTACTATCAGCTGCCCCTTTGGTTCGGGGGTGGGATTAAACCTTATTTAATTGAAAACCATAACATCGTAAATTCATTAGGGTTGTAGAATTACAGGCTTTCCTGGCCTTATATTCAAGAAGAACACTTGGACAACTTGTTGTCGGAACAAAATGGAGCCACATATCATACAGCACGAGTGAATGTGGCATTATTGGGTGGGAAATTTCCTGGCGGCGTAATCTTTCGTCATGTTGATGTTGAATAGCTACCGAGACCTTGATTTTGGGCACGTTTTGCGTTTTTTGGTGAGTCTCCACGAAAGTCCGCGTTAATACAGATCAACCGTTAACTCTTGAATATTTGAAAACCAACATTCATCAAGTTATGACTGACTTACCGCTCAATACGCTCCAAAAAGTGGTCAAAAATTGCCACAAATCGAACGAAGTTTGCCAAAATTCGAGATGCTGTCATTTTAATGATGTTGTGTCTCTCATACAGTGCCAATACTCAATCGTTATTATTAAATAGGAAATTTCATAAAAAAAAAATATTTTAATGTATTTTATTGCTGTTTTTGATCAAATCAAATTCGTTTTATATTTCGATTTCTATGATTTTCAGAATCATTTGGCAATGTTTTATATGTATGTATTTAGAATAACAAATTTCATCTTATTGTATGACTCGTCGCATTGTTATGTATACAAACTTGTTGTAAGGCAGCTACACGATGGTTCGATCCAACTGGTTCCACCATATGATCGTTTGAATATGACAGTCAGCTGTGTTTTAAGTTTGGTTGAAATATCTAAACTACACAGGGAGTCGCTTGCATCCATACACACGGACAGATGGATATGGCTAAACCAACTTTGCTTCTCATTCTTATCAATTTTTACATACTTCGGTGTAATAAACCCCTTCAAGTTCATGAAAGGAAAAAATAACAGAATTAATATAAAATAATTCGTAGATTTTTGTACATATTTTTAGTAAATAATTTTATATACGCTATTCTAACCTTTTGTAAACCATTATATGTGACAATAACAGAGATCCAAAATCGCTCCATTCAAGGACTTTAAAGTGCAAGTTCACTAGGTTTATGATTAACGTAAAGATTAATATGGAGATATAACTTCTGAGTGCTCAAAAAGTTTTTTTAATTTAAAATCGTACTATAAACCAACTCGATCACAAGAACTGTACTTTTTACATCGAATTAATCGTTAACTATAAGAGTTAAAACTGTTTTTAAGTATAGAATGTTAACGCAAATATAAATTTTAAACCATAGATAAATACTGTGAAAGCTTAAATTGCTACAATTTAACAATTAATTTACATTTAAATACCGCGCTCTTTGGATTTAACATTCAAAAATAAGCACGAATTGCAATATTGAGCAAATTGACATTTCATGACATTCAATTTCATTCAATCAAACAATCAAATTGATGGCTTACTTGCAAAAAAGGACACAATTTAACACAAAAAGGAGAAAATAGAATATAAAAACGATGTGTCGAGACGATTAGAGGGCGAATATACATACACACACACTACACAAATTTTACCAATTTCTTAGTTAGGCCGGTTATGCACACCATCTGGGCCTGGTAAGAAGACGCAAACTTCTTAGTTTTTGACCTGTATCAAATAATAAAACATCACTGACGCTGAATGAAAATTTGGACATAGAGACGTTTTCGCCGACAACCATCTTCTGGTATCTTATTTCTAAAACCCTAAAGTACCTTTTCAGACTAACCTATTTTTTTCGATTTTTTGAATGAGGAAAAGCACGATACATGAGCATGTTTGAATCACAATTTTTCTGGTAAT